ACCCCCAAATTCATGGTCGCCCACCTCCACAAGCACTAACTAATGCCCCACAGCACTGACTACTGTCCCACAGCCTCTGTGGATCATTACCAGCTTTTTCTTCTCTTTTCCATAGCAGCCATCTTGAACATTTGTCTTTCTCCAAATCGTCCATCCCACAGCACCTCCTCTCCCTGAGCACACATTCTTGCTTCTGAGATCAGAGAAGTAATGGTCACTGGTATAAGCTCTCTCAGTTTCCTGAGTCTACCTCACAACTGCCTATCTACATACCTACATCCCCAACTTTTCCTATCCTCCCATTTTACAAAAAAAGTGTGTTCTGCCACAGGCTTATCCTGGACCCAACCACCTCCTATTCTCTTGCTGATTTCACTCCATCTTTCAATCTCTTCCCTTTCCTTTACTTTTAACTGTCCCCCTACTGAATTCTCCCTATAATCCCTTTTTAAAAGTCCTAATCTCTGCCAATTTGAAACAAATCTATTGTGGCAAATACCTGTAATCCCAGCACTCTGGAAGGCTAAATAAGGAGAATCACAAGTTTGAGTCAAACCTGAACAACTAAGCAACTTAGTGAGACTCTATATCAAAAGAATAAAATATATATTTTAAAAATCTGGGGATGTAGCTTAGTGAAAAGGTGTTCAGTTCAATCCCTGATACTGCAAACAAAACAAATAAATTTGTTCCTCAACCCTATGTCCTTTCTGCTTTCTCTTTCCTTTCAAAACCTATCAACTCAGGCTGGCAAGATAGCTCAGCAGACTAAGTGCCTATTTAGGCAAGCACAGGGACTGGGGTTCAATCCCCGGTATCACATGCAGCACCAGTCCTGCTCCTGGGTTAGTTGAGCCAGCAACCAAGTCTGGGCATGGTGATGCACACCTGTAATCCCAGCACTGGGGAGGCTGAAAATAGGAGGATCATTATGAGTGACCAATTTGTTGCTAAATTTAGAGTTTACATTACCAGACCTCGGCTTATCTGACCTTGCTATGCCATGTCTCTTATGACTTACCTGCTTGGGTTTTGGTGACACATCATTCTCTAATATTCCTCTAACCACTCTGACTCTTCTTACCTTTCTTTCTGGGCTTTTCTTTCTCTATTTATTCCTTAAATGTTGATGTTTCCCAAGGTCTTCTCTTTGACCTTTTCTATTGAATAATGTAACTCATTTCTATGTTTTAAATTATGATCTATGTGCTGATAGCTTGATAATTTTTAACTACATCTCCAGACCAAAACTCATAAGCTCTAAATTACCTTGCCTGAACATTCTATACTCAGTTGAGTTGTACCTCTTCCTTTCTTTTAAAATCATTCCTTCACTATTCTCAGAAGAAAATGCCATCATCCATCCATCCATCCATCCATCTAATTATCCAAGACAAAAAGCTAGGCCCCACCTTTGACTTGTTCTCTCCATAACCTCAGCACGTCACTCATAAAGTCCCCTGAATATCCACCTCCTTAACATAGCTCAAACCCTCTACCTACTTTTCCCAGGGCTGTCCTAATCCACATCCCAACCTCATTTTCTGCTGGCCATTCTTACACAACCACTAGATCTTTTCAAAATGTACATCTCCTCAAAAACCTTTATTGTACTTAGAATAAAGTTATATCCTCAGTCTGGTATATCAGATTCTTTAGGTCCCAGTCCTGATCAATTGCTCCAATCTTTCAGTGTCTAAGATTCAGCATTCAAGTTAATTTCTTTCTTAATTAAAAGACCTATGGGACTTTGCTGAGACCTTTGCTTCTCTCTAAGAGGTTTTCACAGTGTCCCTCTGAAATTATCTGCAACTCTAGCTTCCAAGGATCTAGAATTTCCTTCTTTAGGGTTCTGCGCCCTAAAATTACCTCTAAAAATGACAGAATACATATACTGAGTATTTTCTTGTCAATCAGATACTTTATCTCATCTAATTTTCACAAGTCTAAGGTACACATTATTTCCATTTCTCAAATGAGAAAACTGAGACACAGGATTAAATAACTTCACCAGCCACACAAGTACTGGGGCTTCAACCCTAGAATTCCCAGTACATCATTTTCTATGTCTATTCACAGTCAAACTGGTGTCTGATCATCCAAGATGAAAAAATATGGAAAGAAACCTTTCTTAAGGCTTAATATTCATGATGTACTTTACATAAAGCACCTTATTTATCTCTTACAGTGCTTTCAGATAAGCAAACTGCAGATTCAAGGTCACACCACTAGTTAAGTCAATTTGTATTTCCCCACCTCCATCTGTATTAACTACTCTAAACACCAAACAAAAATGTTTTACAGCTAAAAAAATAGGTCTAGCCAGCATAAGCATCTGCTTGACAATTACAAGGTCCCAAGTTTGATCCCCAGCACCACAAAAAATGGGTCTACCTCAGGGTCACACATACAATCAGAGCCAAAATCAGGATTAGAATTCAGGCTTCCTGACCCTAGTTGACTGGGTGGATGCTATTTTTGTCTTTGTGTACTGGGAAAATGGAATCAGAAGACCTTGACTTTTTCTTTTTTATAAGAATTTCCTGAAAACTAGTACTATTGTGTATGTGTGTGTGCGTCCGTGCATGTGCACGCAAATGCATGATGTGGTCTTGGGGATTAACCCAGGGCTTCATGCATGCTAGGCAAGTGTAGTACACACTTCATGCATGCTACACAAGTGAGCGGCACCCCTAACCCTAGCACCACTTCTGTAGGTTTAAACGGATTTCTAATGGGTTTCCTCTGAGCACCAAGTAGGTTTTTTTGGTAGCCTTTTGCTGATTTGCTGATTCCTTGCTGATGTCCACTTGATAGTGATCTTCCCACTACCCACTTCTCCAAGAGCCTCTGCTTCCACTGCATCCACAGAATTGGACACTAGGCTTCAGTATATAATCCATTTCCCGGGGGCCGGGGAGATGGCTCAGTAGAATAAGCGCTTTCCTGGAAAGCACAAGGGCTTGAGTTCAATCCCCCCCCACCAAAAAAAGTATAATCCATTTCCCTTGCCTCCTTACAGTTTTCTCATCTTCAGGAATGAAGCCCCATTTGTTCACCCAGCTCCAATTGCCTTCCTGTATGGTTTCTCTAGGATCAAAGCCCTCTTTCATTCTTCTTACAAGTTTGATTAGTTCTTTTCTAAATGCCATCCATTTTACTCATTCCCCCATCCTAGCTTTTCCTCTCTGGCTGTCAGCAATTCAAGATGACAGTGTTTCTCTCAGGCTCTGTCTTTAATTTGAATTAGGTTCAGAGCAAATCTCCCTGGTTTCTTTATTTTGGGCCAGGAGTTAATTATTTTCATATAATATATATCATATATGTTCTTCCTAAAAAGCCTCAGTTGACATGTACCCAAAACTTTTGGAGGGGGTGACAAATGAAAAGTGTGGGATTAATCAGGCCATCTAGGCAACACCAAAACTTTTAGAGGGTAAAGATTTAGGAAAGATGCTACTTAGAAAGGTAGGGCATCACTACTGGGTCCCCAGGATGCTGAGCAGAGCACTGAAAGAAAGGCAAAGACCTCGGACTATGTCCTTCATACCACAGGAGTATAAATTCTCCCCAGAAAAGGAGCAGGAGGAAGGTAGGCATTCAGAAACAGATGTAGGACCAATATCTAGAAATAGAGGAACATGAAGAACTTCTGACATTTAGGAGAGAATTGATAGGAATAATAGGCATCAGTCTATGAATCCCTAGTCTACAAAAAAAAAAAAAAAAGGGAAGAATTCTCAGAACAAATTCTCAGGCAAAATCCCAACCCACTGTGTATGAATGACATAAACATTTATTCAAGGGGTAGCATCATTCTACTCTAGTTGAACATCTCCAACAGTGGGAAATGAAGAACCTGTTGATCTCAATCTAATGAGGAAGATGGGCATGCAAGTGGAATAGAGGAAGTAGAGGGGTGCTATTCAAATAGAGAATGAGGCACCTAACACAGAGCCTGGCATCTAGAAGTCTTTATGGAAAGCGGCAGCATCTAGACTAAGGTTTGAAGAATGTTGAGGAGTTAGCTGAGAGTAAAATGGAGGGCCTCATAGGAATGAGAGAAAACAAGTGCTTGGGGCTTCCCAGTTTCCAAAGAAGTTCAGGGTTGGGAGAAGATGATGTCCAAATCTTGAAGGGATCTTACAAATATGCTGAGGAATTTGGGCTTAATTACTTAGGTTTGGGGAAGCCTGTGAAGGAGGAGTAGCGCCCCCTATCAGGCTGCAAAGGGGCAGTTGCTGCGGTATTCAAGGGTGGTAAGAAGGAAACAAAATGGGAAGGCCTTAGTGGTGAAAGTCACGTGACAAAAAGTAAAGTGCCTCTCTATAAGATCAAGACAAACACAGATAAAGTTCAGAACGTGGTGCGAAGGTTTCCTCTGTCTTGCCGCACCTTCACTGGGCAGGAACCAAAGCAGCTCACCCTTGGCTTGCCCAGTGACTACCAGCTGTGAGTAGGGGATCGTTCCCTTAGACACTCTTTCCGGATAGGAAAATACCCAGGGTCCCAAAATAACAATTGAACACACACACACACACAAAACCTAAAACCTAAAACTCCTCTCTAGAGTATGTCCAAAGCCACACATACTCCTTGAGGGTCGCGCAGCCGGTCCCTTATCGCCAGCACTCAAGGGCTGCCTTTGCCAGGCAAACAGCCCTCTCGCCCTCCTCTGCGTCTCCATCTCTTCAATGCACTCTGGGAAATGTAGTCCACCTGTGCGTTCCTGGCAGCGGTATACGCCAACCCCGCGGCCTTAAAGGACTACAAGTCCCAGAAGGCCAGGTGAAAACTCCAGCGGTCCCTGGGGAATGTGGTCTTTGCAGCGGGATCCAGGAATCCGCGGGCGGGGCCAAAGGGATTAGGAACAGCGCCCCCGCCAAGGACAGCCTTATGGGCGGGGCCCCAGTCGCCATTGGCTACGGCGGCGCAAGGGAGGCGGGGTCAGCGGAATGAGGCGCGGAGCTGTTCGCTGCTCCAGGTGCTGAGTACGGGGGAGGCTCCGGACGCTAGAGCCGCGGACGCTGGCGCCGCAGCCGCCTTGTGAACCGCCCCCGGGAAGCCGGGGCCGTGAGGAGCCAGGAGGCGCCGGTGCGCCTCCAGGCGCTGACTACTCTCCTACCCGCCGTCTGAGGTTGGTACTGCAAAGATTTGCTTTTGTTTTACTGGGAGGAATGAACTGAAGCCTGAGGGGATCTGGGGAGTTGATGGGACGTGGAACACCGCTCTCAAGATCATCTGTCCCGGAGAGCCGCTGACTGACCACGGGCCTCCCCCTGGCCGGGTGCCTAAGGTCGGAGTAGCTTGGGTTTGTGTCTTATGGTGGAGCAGCTTCATGAGTATGAGGGGCGAGGGCTGGGGGACCCTCCCCCCATCTCTCCGGGGAAAGCATGGAAGGCTCGGAGCCTCCTTCCTCCTGTACCTGAGGTCGAGGCTGCTCGGATTATTGAGGGAGGAGAGTTGTGGGTGAGAGGTTCAGAGGCAGAGGGACCCTTCCCCACAACACCTCAGTTGTTCGAGGGCACAAAGAGGTCTGGCTATGATGGATGCGATCGCGGGACTCCTCCCTCCGATCAGATCCTGTTGAGGTTCGAGTTGTAAGGGAGACCCTTCCCCATACTTCCCTTCGCAGTCTTTGGTTTTTGAAAAGGGAGGCTGAGGACATGGATAGACCGAGGACTCATCCCCATACCGCTCGTATCTAAGGGTTTTGGGGGAAGGGGTCTAAAAAGGGCTGAAGTGGGAGAAGGGAAGGTTGGGAGACCCCTCCCCACCCTGCTCGGAGTCTTCCATTAAAAAAAAAAAAAAAAAAAAGCGCTGACAGATGTTCTGTTCCGATTCCTTGGTGCTGTAGCCAGGGACTAAGGTCGAGTGGCCTGGGTATGAGAGGTGAGTACCGGAGAAAAAGAGGGTTTACGGGACCTCTCCCTACTCGCGTTTTATTTCTTAAGGGCTTTCTATCTGGATCAAAGCGCGGGGCTATGAGAGTCAAAGCAACCCTCCCTCCCCCGCCACGCCCCAGGGACCAGAGCTTCTGCACCGCGCCAGCTCCAGATGGGCACGTGCGTGCGGGGCAGGACGGGGCGGGTCCCCTCTCAAGCACCTGGGAGCTCCAGGCCCAGGTTCCCCCGCGCATGGGATCCTCGAGGGTTGCTCTGTTTGGCACGGGGCGCGCCCCAGATCCGGCCGTGAGGAACTGCGTCCTGGGCTCGAAGCAGTTGCTCCAGGGTGCCCCACTATGAGCTCGGTTCTGGCATCCGAGGGAGGACAAAGAGGTGGTCGCTGCACTGGAGGGCGTGCGCGGCGGCGGACTGGGCGAGGGGCGCGGCTGTGGGAGGGGGGCCTCGGGCGCGGCGCGGGTGGCTTCCGAGGAAACGTGCCAGGAGCAGGGAGAGAGACAAAGCGCGCTCGCTCCTCGCGGGCCTGCGCGAGCCGGCATGGAAAATCCCGAGGGAGGAGATGGCTGTGCTGGCCAGAGCACTACGTCCCACACCCCTTTCTCTTTTCCCACAAACCTCCCCACATCTGATTGCTGGCCCTTATCCTGGGTGCTGGATGCCCGATGTTGACCAGGCCTAGGACTTGTGACCAAAAGGACAGGGGCAGGCAGAGGCTCCACGCTGCGGGGGAGTTAATGTAGGGAGCATGAATGTATCAGGGTCTGGAGGGGCATTCTGACTGGATTTCTATATATACCATCAGTCATATTGGGTCAAATTTGGTTCTGGAACTGGGATGTGTTTAAGTCTTTGGAGCTGGCATGTGTTTAAGTGTGTGTCTGTGTGTTCACACTCATGCATACACATGTGAGTGCATGTGCGTGTGTATGTTTGCATTGGTGACAGTGTGGTCAGAGTGTGTAAATGTGTGTAACAGTAAATGTGCCAGTGTCTGCTCCAGTGTTCGTGTGTATGTCATGGTGAGCCTGTGCATCTAGCTCTGTATGTATAAAGGGTGGGGGAACCACTCATTGCCACACTTTAATGTTGAGGGCAGCAGGACAGTCACTCTTTTAACTCTCAAGTCACAGTAATGACCTGGGTCTAAGTGGATGGCTTCAGGGTAAGGATAGTTTCAGGCTGCCTTGGACCTAGCCTGCATACCTGCAGCAAGTGGACTTCACAAAGTGGAGACCTCATTAGTCTTTAGGAGCTTCAGGGCTGACCCTTATATCCTTGCCAGTGCCCTGCCCTTTGCATCCCTCAGAGACCTTATAATGCTGTAATGGGCTTCTGTAAGGACCAGCATTCTGCCCCACCACTACCACACCCCACCAAGGAAGGTATAAGGGACTCAACAGAGTCCCTTATAATGTGTGTTCAAGATTGTGTGGCAAGGCAAATTTTGACACTTGGCCTCCATGTGTGGAAGGCCTACAGGACTGGAGTTGCTGGCAAGTTCATAGGTGGCATTTCAGAAATACCAGGAGCATGCATAGAGAAGATACCAGGATGACACTGAGATTCCATTAAAAGGTTAACATCCCTAGAAGATTAGCACAGCACTGTCAGATCTGCCTATCCCCAATTTCAAATCACCTTAATGGCAAAAGCACTGCATGGTCTTGAGAAATCTTGCCATAGAATGAGGAATTAGACCGTGGCCAGTGAAAGAGCAGGTACCCAGTAATGGAGCCACCAGCCATCCAGCCCAGCCTGCCTGATCCAGTCCCTAGCATTTATAACCAGTGCCCACAGCGACCTCTGGTGGGATGAAGTCAAATCAAAGCACAGTTTGAGCAGGTGTGGGCATTGTTAGGTAAACTCACATTTTTTTTTTTAATTTGGGGGCTACCTCGGTGCCCTAAGTTGATGTTACAACTTGTGCTTCCTTCAAATGAATTCAAGCATGAGCTGCTGGTGTCCTTAGCCCCATGGAAATATTTAAAGAGGGTCTGGAGGCCTTTGTGTTTGCATCCACTTATGGATGGGCACCAAATACATTTGTGAAGACAATCTATTAAAAAATTATCAAACTAAAAGGGATTTCAACATTCCCTTCCACTTTTTTCTTGTTCCACTTTTATCTTTCCTCATTATTAAATTAATCAATAATGTATTTTCAAAAACAAGTCTCCTTCTCCTCAATGATTATATAGCCTCAAAAATGCAGATATATATATGGAGGGTATTACTAAGTGCTAAAATCATGTAAATACTAGCTCTTTCAGGCCCAATGAGGAGTAGGGAAAAGGCATGAGACATATTCAGTTTTGAATAATGACCTGGTGCATGTATCTCTTCTACAGTTACTTTGAAGGGATTTCACACTGTCACAAAATTGTTAGAGCTCAAGTGAAAGGAGGTATTTAAATACCTAGTATTGTTCTTACTTTGGCATTCATGTGATTTGCATTGAACTATGTGACTCAGTATCATAAAGTAAAAATAGGACTTAATTTTTTTCTTCACCTGTTCAGAAGGTGACTGCATATAGCGTGTTGTGTTCTGCATTGGAGAGTGAAAAGCTAAATTGCCTCATAAATTGAACCACCTGCTTATCCTGATTAGAGAATGCTGCTTTGCATCACCTACAGCAATAACATCATTCTTATTTTCTTTCCATTCAACGCTAAATCTTTGTCTTATAAAACATTTCCCATGCTCATACATTATTACTTTCACTTCAGGTTAATCAAGAATGTTTGACCTTTGTACAGAATCCAAACAAATTAAATATCAGCACATACAGGAAGATGTGGGTGGTGTTTCATTCTTTTTCGGCTCAAAAAAAAAAAAGTCTTGAAGTTCACAGGGAAAAAAGAGGACTCTGGTTCAGTAAATCTTATAAGTGGAATTATGGCTTTCTGACTGGAGGCTCCTTAGACCTTTCCAAGAGGCCTGCTCATGTTGAAGAATCTGAGCATGCATGCCAATGACAGTATGCATGCTGGGAGTGAGGCAACAGCCCCTGGGATTCCTCAGTTCCCGTATTAATGCAGCATTTCTGGGAAAATTCCCTGGGTTCCTCCGGATTCCTCTTCCATAAGCACCCAAGTTACCCGGGAGAGGAGCTGTCCGAGGTTCTGGACCACTAGTCTCAGCCTGCATGATGGGGAGATAGGATTATAGGAAGTGGAACAGAATCAAGAACTGAGGGCTCTGACCTCTTCGAGGATTTCCCTAAAGCTGATCTCAGAACAAATTAGAAGGCAATAGACTTGTACAGTTTTTTTTCTGCATTATTTTGATTGAACCCATCGACAGTCCCTATTTAGAGAATTACAAGCTAATATAAGAATAAACATTTTCTGAGCCAGGTTCTTCACATGCAAGAATGAATTTAATCATCCTAGTCACAGAGGTATGTGGTGGTGCTATTCCCACTTGCAAGATGAGGAAATAAAGCTTTTTAAAAGGAAAAATGATATATAAAGTAAAGCCATATTAATATGCTGAGCTGTGAAAGGCTCAAGTCAACAACTTCTGTGGATAACCCATTACTATTATGGACTGCTGAACTGTGTTGGATTGTTTTGCTGAATTCACACACCTATAGTATTTAGATGCCAATGGAATACCCATTTCTGACAGGACTAAACAAAAAAAAGGTGATACAAAGGAAGGACCATTTTGTATTTGTATATGCAGAATAGTTAGGATAGATATAGAGCTACTTTTGCTTAATTCAACAAGAAGAAAGATTTGTACTAATAGTGTTTGGACAGGACATCCTGTCTGCATCTTGCACTATGGATAATCACTAAGAAAATAACAGTGTATAATGTATTAATTATTGAAACTGTCCTATTAATCAGTTTTGAAACTGTCTCATTGATATTTGTTTCTCAATAAAATAAAATAAACAAAAAACAAAAATAAATAAATTTTAAAAAGGAAAAACAAGACTGGGCGTGGTGGTGCGCTCCTGTAATCCCAGCTCTTGGGAAGCCGTAAACAGGTGGATCACTGAGTTTGATCTAGTAGTGAGATCTTGAACACCCTGTAGACCCTTCCCTAAAAATAAAAAATAAAAAATAAATGCTTGCCTAAGGTCACACAAAATGGGCAGTTTAGGTTCAATCCTGAATTTATTAAACTCCAAAGTCCTGGGCTGGTGAGATGGCTCAGTGGTCTAAAGCACCCACTTAGAACAAGCTTAGCAAAGTACAAGGGACCGCAGTTCAATCTCCCA